CTCCCCTCCTCCCCATATCCACTCCCCCTCCACGGACTCCCCCACCCCACCCAACCACCCAAGCAACCAACAACCCAACCAACCAAACCATGTCCAACCCCACCATCCCCGCTTGCGCCACCAAAGGACGCCGCCTCAGCTCATGAAGGAGTGGAAAGAAAAGGCGTCAGAAGAGGCTTGGGGATGGGAAGCCCAATTTTCTGATTCTTTCGAATTGACTGTAGTGAGGAAAATAGAAAATCCAATGAAACACTACTAGGGTTTTTTTTATCCTGTGTCTTTTTTAGTTTTTGATTTTTTTCCTCTATGTCCTTTTTTACCCTGTTTTTTTTCTTACATTTCTGATCATTTTTGAATGTTTTTGGCCCGTTTGTCATCTCTTTTATCTCTTGCAATGGTTTTTCTCAATCAATCTAATTTTTTTTATCATTGATAAATTGCCTTTGGGGTGGGGCCTCAGTGGCTCAACCTTTTTTTGGAGTCTCTGAGGGTGCCATATGGCGACGACTCCCATTTCTAGTTGGACGACTCCCGTCTTTTTTTAATATAGAAAAAAAAAGGCAAAACATTTGGAGGAATTGGTGCGACGACTCCCTTGTATTAGGTGGACGACTCCCTATTTTTTTAATAAAAAAATAAAAATTCTCCAGGTAAAATTAGTGCGACGACTCCCTATGTTTTTTCAGGAATTGGAAGAACGACTCCCGTCTGACGACCTCCCGACCGAAACGGGAGTCGTCGACTAAAATTTGGGAGTCGTTTTTCCAAGCCCCTTATTTTATTCTTACTCATATATCTAGTGAATATCAATCTTATATTTACCAAGTCATGCAGAAATTCAAGGGTGAGATTTCTGGGTATATTTGCCTGCAAAAATGTGCCAGGTACCTGCAGGTACCCGGCGCAGGTACCCGGGTACCCGCCCTGGCTGCCCTAGAAGGTGCGGGTGCGGGTGCGGGTGTCAAAAATATTGGATTTTTGAGGCAGGTACCCGGGTATTGAGCGACATCTCTAAGTTACCACTAGAGCAACTTGTGAGCATGGATTTATTGTTTGCGCTGTTCTAGGGCAGGTGAGAAGGTTTTGAAAAAGGCAATAGGGTCAAGATTATCACACATTGAGAATGGAAAGGTCTCAAGAGGCCAGTAGGATACAAGAAGAAGGGGGAATGATGAAATGAGGTGGACTACAAGGAGGGAGAGAGTGAGACTATGAAGCTTGAGGCTTGGTGTCCTTGGCTTCAACTCCTAGTCATCTCAAGCCATGGCTGTCCCAACCAAATTGGGCCAGCAAGCCCCCAACTCAGTCATACTAGAGATGTTCGCGGATAATCCGCCGCGGATATCCGCTATCCGCTGGCGGATACCCGCCAGTGCCAGCGGATACCCGCCAGCGGGTGCGGATGCACCCTTCCCCCTGGTTTAAATGCCAGCTCGCCGGGAGGAACCACTCCCAGCGAGCTGGCCTGTAGCCGCTCGCCGGGAGGGGTTCCTCCCGACGGTGTGGCCTCTGCCCCTTTAGGCCGAGGGGGCTGGGTTTTTTTTTTCTTTTTTTTAAAACAAACACTCCTGGAAGAGCCTTGCCGCCCATTCAGAGGGCGGGTATCCGCGCGGATACCCGCCAACGCTGGCGGGTATCCGCCAGCGTATGCGTATGCGGATGCGGATGTCTGATTCCGCTGAAATGGTGAGAGGATATCCGGATGCGGCGCGCCCATCTCTAAGTCATACAGGTCAAGGGTGCTGTGGATTTATCAGTGTTTCAGCTAGTCCCCCATAGGCACACCATAAATCTTCCTGTTGGAATTCACAGTTTCTTTGTGTTTCTTTCTCCTTGTTTTTCTGCTTCTCACCTGTTTCACTCATCTTCTCAGTATGTCACAGATGTGTGACACCTGTGTATGTAGTCACTCTGGGTCAGCTGGCAGTTTGTGGAAGTTCTCTTTTCCTCATCCTTCCACAAATTCTCTGTCTGGCCTAGGTGAGTCTAGTCTTTCTTTTCTTTCTCTGATTTTCCTTTTTATTTCCTTCTCCTCAGTAGTGCAATGAATCTTATCCTTCCCAAAACTCTCTGTCTGGCCTAGCTTCATCACACCACCCCCTGAGCTCCCTTTACCACTACAGTCTTTACCAAGCAAAATAAACAAGTTACAGATCAAAAAATCCATTTATTATCTCAAGTGAAACCTGTCTCAAAGCATTCAAAAAGCCTTCTCCCCAGGACTTCAAAAAGGTCTGACCATACTTAAGGCACATTTATATATTGTAAGGGAGTTAGAAAAGCAACTCTCAAATATTAGCCCACGACCAGCGGTGGGCCGCTACGCTTTTGGCCCAAAAAGCGTAGCGTAGCGGCGCTTTTTTTTCCTCAAAAAATTGTAGTGTTAGCTTGTTTTTAGCGGTTTTTTGCTGCGCTACAGCGCTTTTAGCGGAAAAAGCGGCCAAAAACCGCTAAAAAGAGCTGTAGCGCAGCGTAGTGGGCCCTTTTTTGCGGCCCACACGCGTAGCGTTAGCGGTGTCGTGGCGGAATTCTGCTACGCTACGCTTAGCGCTAACAGGAATACCGCTGTGTTACGCTACACTAACCGCTACGGTTAGTGTAGCGGCCCACCGTTGCCACGACTCCCAAAAACTGTCAACAGATGTCCGTTGAGAGTTTTTGACTAATTTTTAGGCCAGTCTTGGGAGTTATCTGGCAATTTTCTATTTTATTTATTTATTTTTGCATTTTTTGGGGAGTTGGCTCCCCAAACCACCCCTCACAAATGAGGGGTTTGGGAGCTGCTCCCATCTGACTGGAAGGGTTTCCTTCTGGTCAATGAGGTAGCGGTACCTCATCAACTGGAAGGAATCCCTCCTGGTCAGCGGGGTAGCTGTACGTAATCAGCCAATAGGAAACCCTTTTGGTCAATGGCAAAGACCTCATCAACAGGAAGGAATGCCTTCCTGTTTTACCTCATTGACTGAGAGGAAACCCTTTCAGTCAGTGAGGTACAGGCTACACCTTTTGGTCAATGAGGTGCAAAGACCTCATCAACGGGAAGGGATGCCTTCCTGTTTTACCTCATTGACTGAGAGGAAACCCTTTCAGTCAGTGAGGTACAGGCTACAGCTACCTCACTGACCTAGGTCAGATGGGAGCAAGCCCCCCTCCCCCGCAAGAATGAATCGTCCCGCATGATAATCCATCGGGACCATGACAACAACAAAAAAACAAAAAAAAACTTATGTAATATGTGCATACTACCCATTTGGGCTTGTCAGGACTTGCCAACTTGGCCACCCGGCCGGCGGGTAGGGTACCTTGGAGGTGATGAGTCGATACAAGAACCGGCTCGCTGGGCTAGATTACACCTTGGCAAGCGGGTTTTATCTGCTAGACAATCTCCCTTTCAAGGGCCCAAGGGAGCAGTGTCTGCTTTGTGGCTGCTCGCTTGTGAGGGGGCTTCCTTGCCTTGTGGGTAAGATTGCTCCTTGGTCTTGTTCAGGTTCACCAAGGGAGCTTTCTCTCAAGCAAATGGGACAAAGCATATGTACCCACTTTATCGACGGGATCCCCTCTTGGAGAGCAAGTAGAAATTGATGGCTCAGGAGAAATCCGCGCTGGACATCTCAGCAAGCAGTTACGATGTGTACCCATTCACCCCGCAGACCCTCTCCTTGGTGAGCAGGCATGTTAAAGTGATGACCGGGGAGTACTCCTCCCCAGTGAGTAGGGTAAGGTTTAACCACAAGGTGATTCATTGTAGATTGACCCATTTCCAAAATCGTCCTTTTCATTTCGGAGTATGGGTGCTTGGGTCAATCTTACTCAACACGACTATCATGCGGGACGTTTCAATTCTCGCCCCCCCCCCCCATTCGTGAGGGGTGGATTTGGGAGCCAACTCCAAAAAAATTGAAAAATCACAATACAAATTGCCAGGTGACTTGCAAAAGGTGAAAACATATATTTTAGGTTTATGCTTCTACAACAGGTAGGGACAAGGTACCACAAAAATCTCCTGATACTAATTTGAAAAATTCTCATCTTATGGCTTGAGAAAATCAACAGAGCCAAAATTTGACATAGAATGAGCCTCAGATTTGTCACCAGAGAAGTTGAGAACAACCTAATGATTGACTTGTAATACAAATGGTATATTGGAAGAAAATGGTAGTTTTTCAAAACCTATATGAAAATGGTGAGTACATCCCAAACAATTTCAAGTCAGGGCTACTGTAGATAAAAAATGGCATGTGAGAAGATGCTCACTCGGTTTGCGCAAAATTCGGTATGGGGATCCCACTATGTCGTCTTCATCGATCGGTAGGTCGGATATCACATCCAGCTCTGAGATGCGAGGCGGAGAAAGCGTTCCTGATTCTTCATCTCTCATCACATTGGTTACATTGAAGACCTCGATATTCCGGGTATAACTTTCGTTTCTTCCATCGTTGTAGTTGAAGAATTGCGCCATCCTCCCAAGACCACCTATGACTCGACCATTTGCATTCAACAACAGTTCGCCAATCGAGTGTTGGGTGGTATCAATGTCAACTTGACCCAAACTAGGGGATAGCGAGAAAAATTGGGAACGTCTAAATGTATGAGTGAGGTTTCCAACAATCTTGGTCTGGTTGGTTTCGGATAAAGCAAGAGTAGAGAGATTTAGATTCAAAGGAAATTCAAAGGAGTCCGTGATTATAGTCTTATCATCATAGGTAGAAAGGCTATTTCCTTGACTTGACATGTTAACCGCCTTTTAAGATAGGGTAAGTGTGAAAGAAAAGGAAATGTAAGTTATTAAATCATGGTCGCAAGTGTTGCGGGTGGACAAAATAAGACTCACTTGGTAATTGCCTTGGGAAATCCAAGACTGTTCATTACTATAGATATAGTCTTGCTCGACTCTTACTGCCCGAGGTTCACCGCTACCAGTTATCACAAGACTTGATACAGACAATTTTCGGTAACTCCTCATGATGAAATTAATCGGGAAAAATGGGTCCAGCTGCAATAGAGTCTCAAGACCTTCGGGCGATGACGGCTCGACTGTTGTGTCGGAGTCTGTAGAATATGAAAGTATACCCCCGGTAGTGCGAGTGCCGCTAGGATCCAGAGTTATGAAAACGGAACCACTGAAGATCCACTCCGGGTTTATTGAGCGATTTTCACCTTGTCCCTCCACGTACAGAGTGAAGTTATGGGCCTTGGAATCTGAGAGGTATGGGACAAAGGGCGAAATATCTAAAACGTATGTAGGAGAATCGAATGCACCTATCCCACATATCGGTCTGAATTGGTCCAACAATGAGGTAGAAGCACGGGTCATTTAACTGAATGACCGACATTGAAAAGGGAAAACAATGGAAGTACCTCCACCAAGACATCAAGATTCCTCCTGTATAGATGACAGGGAAAGGATATGCAACCCCAGCAAGATAGCTATCTAAGAGAGCATGAATTGGGCGCTCAGCTGAGCGCTTCCCAGTGATTGTATTTAATTTTTGTAATTTGACTTACCGATCCAGACTTGAACCTCTCGGAACGCGCCTTTGCCGACAGCGACATTTCCGGTGTGATTTGGGTCAATTTTCTCCATGAAGCGATCTGGCACATTTGTATACTGTAGATCCGAAATAAGAATGGTGAGTGGGTATTTAATTTTGCTGTTCAGATAAATGTGAACTACCTACCCAAAACTGAAATCAAGAACATCAAGTAACTTGTCAAAATCAGCTAACACAGACAGTTGAGATGATAGTGAATCGATTTTCTTACCTCCTCTTGGCCTGACCCGCTTGCAAATAACTCCACAAATGCAGTTTCGAGGTTCTGGGTTTTATAAACAAAAAAACACATTAAATTCCTATTAGACCACCTAGTCTTTCAGAAAAGACGCATAAGCTCACTGGAGGGAAAGTTAAAAACTGGGACATATTGTTCCCAGTCCCGCGGCCGATATTGATTATTTTGTCTGCCTTCTTGCTTGCCGGGAATTGTTGAGTGGGTGGGTAAAATTTGGCAGACAGTGTGACTTCATAACTTCCAGTCAAGCCAATTGATTTGTCCACAATATTGCCAATGTCCAACGATAGCAAACTTGGATAAGATAACAGAGGGATGTATCTTGACATGTCGCGAGTCCTGGATTTTTTATTTCACTTCAATTCACTATAACTTCCTTTTGTGAATCAGGGTTTCTTGATGCTTACACCGTCCAAATGATCCCAGTGGCCGTTGGCTCGGCTGCATACCTTAGTATACTATTAGTTTTAAAAGAAAATAAATGGAAAACTATTTGATTCTGTACTTGCCCGTTGACGTTCTCCAAACTAGGTAAGGAATCCAGTCAATCGGAAAAAATCAGTTTTGTGTGAACAGGCTTCAACAGAATAAAACCTACTTTCTATATCATTGAGATAGAGTCGCTAAATGAATTCAATCATGGGAAAGATCAGCAATTCACAAATCTGAATGAATGAAAGGGGATGATGCAAAACGTCGACGGGGAACAAAAGAACGTGCAAAATCTGACCCCAAGTCTGTCATATTGTTTACCAATAGAGGCTATTTAAGCAAAGTAACAGGGACAAGTCAAAAATAATTAGATGCTTCCCGAACCATCAGAAACATAAAGGGATGATTTTGAGTCCTTCATTGAACACTTCATGGTAGATGTAAAAATTACTTAACTGATTGTCAAATTGAAAATCACTGATGCCCAATCACCAGGTTGCCCGCAGTCTTTTGGCGGCAAATAACTTGCATTTCCTGGTTTCCCATACGAATTTGCGAAGTTCTGTACATGAGATTTTAAATTTTTGTTAGCTCCGAAGTTGAGACGGAGATGTAAGACTTGAAAGATGATGGTAGGCCGTAGCACTAGAGCACGTGTAAACTGAACGATCTTTACATATTTCAAAAGCAGCTGGTCGCAGGCTTTACTTCGGGGGACGACCGGTGGCTAGGAGAACGACCCAAAAATGATGCGTCGAGTTCAGTTCTTGTTCAAAATCTCATTGCAAGCTCAGATTATTCGGCCTGAGGAAAGGATTTTGTGGGGAGCCAAGAACCGATCAAGTGAAAATGCTGCTCACCTCTCGAATCTCAAAGTTCCGCAGCGCGTTTGGTCTGACCACTATTTGGCGAGTTTGAAGCTTAGACGGGCTTCTACCATGACCTAGGATGGTAGGCGGCAGATTCAAGAATGTGATGCACGACAGCAGGATAGTGATCATTCCGGGAAGAAAAAAGCCGAGTTTGAGGGGAGGGTATTCTCTGCGCAACATATGGATGAAGGCTTCTTCTACCGAACTTGCTATGGCACCTGGGGTCAGGAACCGACTAGGTCACGCAAAATATCGATTTAAGGAAACTCACCAAGTGCTTGAAAAGAGGTAAGAGTGGCAAGGGTGGCGTTGTGTTTTGTAAGCGTTGCGTCCGATGTTTTTATTTTCTTCTCAGCCGCAAGGTGAGCATGTTCGTGTATAACCCACTTTCCCAGAAACTCATACGACTGTTGAGACTCTGGGGAAGACCTGCCAATGATCTACACTTCAATCTAAAAAATTCTTATCTTGCAACTTACATACGCGCAACATAGACATGCATGAAACTGCTTGAATTCGAGATGAGCGATACAACCTCCAAGACTCAAGGTGAAGACATCTCAAACTTCTAATCAAGTGCGATGTAGCTGAGCCATGTATGATGGCCATTCTGCATGTTTTCTTCTCAACAGGTTAGAGTGAGCCGAAGGCAAAGGCTTGTAGGAGTTCAACGACGGTTTAACCGCTGATTTCGATCGTGGAATTTAAGGGACACCAATCTCTTCCTAACTTCAACAGATTGATGGTAACTTGTCAACCGGTATTCTCCTTAGTGGCACCTGCGTCAGAAAAACTGCTGGTACTATCAAGACTCAGATAACCAAGCCCTAGCAAAAAACCAAGGAAAAAGGATACAGCGCGACAGCCATAAGCAAAGGAAATGGAAACTCAAAAGGCAGGTGGTCAAACAAACTTTTCCCAACTGATATCAGTATTTGAAAACCAATTATTCACCAGTTGATAATGAGTTGGGGAATATGACATGAGCTAGACTGCTCATAGATTCAAGACTCTATGTATTTGGAAATCTTCTCAGTTATACAAACGTCCAAGAATTTAGAATTCCTTTACCCTTAAAGATGGTTGGCCAGTGAATCCAAAGATTTAGAGGTCATGATAGACTCTATCATGACCTCTAAATCTTTGGAGATAGAGTTTGATGTTTTTGATGTAACTTGATCAACTTCCCAACAGATAAATTTCATTGAAATGGCCCAGGAACTGGAACATAAGTTTAAAACAGGCATAGAATATTTTGTAAAAAAAAGCATTAAAAAGTGTAATAGCCATAAGTATTTTATACACACCCAAAAGAAGCATTAAACAGTCACACAGTGTGATAGCCGTCCATGCTTCCAAATCATGCACATATTTGAGTTTGGTTAGTGATCCTGAGATCAATGAATATTTTGAGTTGCTCAATTTTTGATTTTGAATTGGAAATGAAGAATTTCGAAGATGATTTTGATTTTGAAATCAAGTGTGTTTCTCTGAAGAAGCCCATTTGATTTCTAACTTTGTTCTACTCCAGATATAAAAAAAATCATCATCCACTGTCAAATAATTATAACCTTTCAACTTTTTTCTTTTCAATTTCAAAAATCTACATGTGAAAGCTTACAAAAAAAGTGTACTAACATGAAACTTCAAAGAATGAAAATATGGGGCACATGGAGAGCATTGTAAAGGTTGAATTTTGGAATTTGTTTTACAAGAAAATGTCTTTCTTTTTTTGAAAAAGTATGATTGGAACCATTTTGGTTTTTGGCGAGGAAAAGAAAAACACAACAACTGAATACAACAAGATGAATAACCTCTACCTATAGGGAAGTGTTGTGCAGCGCATCCGCTTCATGAAGACAATGTCCATCCACATTTCATAATCCCTCATCAATATACTTTGATATCAGAAACTTGGGGCCAAGGAGCCATTGCAGCCTGGATGAACCCATTAGGAAAACCCATGGAGTAATAGCTAAAATGGCAATTTCATAAATGTTTGTTTTCCAGGTCAACACTGCAAACACATTTTCACTCGAAACACAAAATTGTTACGCACAACGAGATTCCCGCCAGTCCGGAGGTCCTCGCATACTGAGATTTAATTTTCAAGCTCCCAGGATCATCATACACTAAAAGATAGTCATTGGTGTAGAGGTATGCCTAAAACGAGAAAATGGCGGAGTTAGTTTTTGTTCTCATATCCAAATCTATGTAGTAGGGAACTCTTTCACCTGTTTGGCGCAATCGTCCCAACCCCTAGTCACAAGTTGCGTAGCTGTAACACCATCCGATTCCAACCAGCCATATTCCAACAATTCATTTAATAGATAAATGCCCTCGAAGCCACGATATTGACCGCAGGCGTCCAAAGTTCCGTTGAGATTGTCTGTCCATCCTCCCGGCTAGGTTCACGACCAAATCAAACAATACAGAATTAAATACATCAAGAATGTCCTCCTTTCCAATCCATCAAGTGTTGGTTATCAAACAGAAACAATTTGTCTCACCGGCGCAGCACCATAAGCCACCTGAGAGATATCAGTTTTCATGTTGAAATGTTTAGGTAAGTAGAACACGCGACCATAACCAGTAAATCCAAGGATGAGTTTATTGACCGAGAACCCTTGAAACTGCATAATCTGAAGTAATTCCTTTATCCCGTTGGAAAGGTAAGGTATTTTGGGACAATCGGCAGTGAGGGCTGAAAATGGACCTGTTCTTGCCCCTCTGTTTCCAGTATAGCCATCGAATGCCATGAGGTCACTGAAATTAAGTTTGGGACTCCAAAGGACCATCAGAAGACATCCTAAATTCTAAAATTAATGGGGGATTCTGAATGACTTACATGTAATCTACATTTTGAGCAATCAGGCTGGTTTCTTCGGATGTTGCATAATTGCCTGTTGCTCCAATGAAGCCGTTAAAGTTCGCCCTGATAATCAGACGGCCTTGCTTCCATACTTTTTTGAATTCCTGCTTATGCAGATATACCATTAATTTGTCTCTCTCTTCTTTTTTGGTGCGTTTCTAAACTGGGCTTACTTGAGCGAAATGACCAAAATTGACTGTGTCACTTGGCGATCGAGTGTTACAGCCCACACCGGGACTATTTTTTTGTTTTTTGAAAATGTCAATAGACTGTTGAAATCTATAATGATTCCATGAACAGGAAGAGAAAAAAAGCTGACGTGTTTGGAGCTATGAAAGACAGGATCCCAAGCGGAAGAAGATAAGCGTCATATGAATTTCAACTGTGTAGTGCAACAGAAATGTGATCAAATCAGCGTACCTAGCCAAGTGACTACCACACCCTGGAAGTTGTAGGTTTGCGCTAGGGAGACAAGATTTTGAACAAAAGTGCTTCGCCTGTTGGCGTCACTCAAATAGTACGAAAAGAGCCTGTGGAGGTGTGAAGTTGTAGAACGTGAAGTGAGCTCAGATTGAAAAAATATTGCAGCAAGGCATGAAGCCTAATCACTCACTTTGAACCTTGCTCTCCCCCCATGCCCAAAAGAGGCCTTACATTGTCTAAAACCAGCGAGAAGGTTTGAGCATTCCTTAATTTTGCGATAGTACTTGTAGAGCAATACTCACTCTGATCCGCATATTGAACAAATGGTTGCATGTATTGAATTGCCTGTTGATTCTGATCATCAGACCCGAAGGTAAATTCGAATTGGTCAATCGGCCAAGCTCCATGGAACACCATATGGGTGTAACGACCTGAACACATAATCATTATATCTTAGTCTCACTTGATCCCTGTTCAAGATGAAAAGATGATCATAACACATTACTTACCCCAAGCCACGTTTTCTAGTCTTTGGTATTGTGCATGGGAGAACTGGTAGTAGCCTATTATAACGTGGTCTTGATGCATGGGTGGCGGTGGACTGGGCTCAAAGGGCTCAGATTTTGTGAAAGAGAGTAGGGTGGTGGCGGTTAGAATTGTAAGGAAACATGAGAGCATTCTGGAAACTTGTGTTTTATATCTGGTTAATCTCGTATGTGTTGAACGTTAAGAAGTACACGGTTTTTGATGATATTGTTTGGGATGATGAAAAAGTGAAGGTGGGCTAGAGCTTGGCAGCGATTTCTCGAGTCGCCGATGAATGTAAATATTCACCTGAACAAACGAAGTCACTGGTACAAATACTATTTACAGCTAAAAACGAACCTGATGTTGAAGTGAGCGAGAGAGAAGCGGCCGAATATTCAAGTAGTTTATATAGACATGGAGCATCTGGCCTACATTCAATCCTTTTTTTTTTTGCTAAATTTGCTTTTGACTCCAAGGGGTGAGCTCCGTCGAGTCAGGCTTCGGCGTAACCAGTTACATCTTGGAATTGCTCCGTCAAAAATTAAACACAAGCGGACTCGGTTCACTGGAAACCGCCGAAAACCATTGATGGTTGGACTCTGGAAGCTGCGTTTCATCGTGAAAATGACATACGCCCGAGGCCGATCGCTACATTTAAGTGATGCCGCCGGAAGGCTAAAAAAATCAAGTTCCGACGTGGAACACTTGCAACTCGATGGCTCCTCATCAAAGCCCTAAGCCCCGAACTATCCATGGTACTCCATCCGGCCGGTTGTTAGCTCTAAGCGTAGAGGTCGGTGAATACGTATACATAACCACGAAACAAGGATGGTCGTGAGTTTTGGAGATTTACTCTTGGCTCGGCCTATGGGCAACCGAAGCGGTTGACTGGCACCGTGACGCTTCCTTCGTTTTCGATAAAACTGTTAGTCGTCAATTTGGTTCGAATTACAAGTCCTGAGGGCGGGAAGCATGTGCAGAAGATCTTGCCGAAGTGTAATTAGGTATAATAGTGACAGGTTTCACGGGAAATTTATCGTCAAGGGAACTCAGGGGGCTCAACCGAAAGCTTTGGTTTTCGTGAAGATACGATCATACGTACGCCCTACTGCAGGTGATGAGCAGTACAACCAGCTCTAGATGCAGGTCACATCAGTCCCACCAAGTTCTTTTTGCTGCACTTGGAAGAACGTTGACTTTTGAACTTATTTTGATAAGGTGATTGAGCATCAACTACTTCAAAGGGCACTGAATTTTGAACCTATTTGCATGAAGTGATTGAGCATCAAGTAATGTACAAACAATGAAGAGGTAAATAAAAAAAAACCCTGGGTGTCAACCTTGCTTTTTATTAAAAATGGGTCTCTATTGATTAAAAAAACTGGTTTGTTGTTGAGAAATCATTGCTTGGGAAGATATTTGAAGAAAAATGCCAAAAAAACTATACTCGCAACTAAAGTAATAGCAACCGGGGCCATGATTAAACCATCGCGGAACCAAGGTTGCATGGGTCTACTGGTTTGAGCTCCTGTGGCCAGATCGACAGATGTTGGCCTTGGTGATGATGTTGGAGATAATCCGTCAACGATCGACCGACAGTTCGGGCAAGTATGTTTGTGTTTTAACCAGTCTTCAATGCATTCCTTATGAAAGATTCGGTTGCAATGTGTGCACTGTTTCCTCTTGAGTCCGACTCCAGCAGACGCCCGGCACTCCGCCAAGCAAATCAGACAATCATTTTCTTCATGATCGTTAATGGGAGGGTTGTCTTCCAGATCTTCGAATCTGATTGGAGGAGGATCCAGTGGAGCAGAGATTCCACTGAGCTGCCCTATGCGGTTTCTTTCCCCCGGCTGCTGGACCGAAATACTCAGCAGCTGATGGCTTTGTTCCTAGATATCAATCCAAAAAGCATTTCACACTTTTAATCTCCGAATAAGGTGCCAGCAGATTTGGATTCAGGTTGTCCGCCCACCTGCTGAATTGATTCATGATCTAAAGCCCACAATGAGAGAGTCGGCCCTCGAAGAACTGTTTCATCTGTCGGCCGTCCGAGTCCCGAATTTTGTTCGATTGAATGTGAGGGATGTTGGAGGCTATTCAATTCGGTAACTCGGAGCGATTGTCTTGGACTATAAAGTCCGATGGATTCCCCCGGGGACAGTGTGCTCACACATTTCCCTAAAAGCTTCCGGTTTGAAGGCAGATGATCAGTTGAGGCTTGGAACTTGAAGGCTGTCAAAGAGGGAAGAAAATGCGCCTAACAAAGAGTAGTGGCCAGAGAGCCATTGAATAAAACTTCCTAGACCAAGTGCAGGGATCCAGCTGAGGTGGAATCGGGATGATCAAAGTGTATCGCGGATGGAAGCTGGTTTGACGTGGAAGGGAAGTCTAATGTAGATTCAAAATGTTTTCAACAGCATTTAAAACTAGAAAAGTCACTTTAAAAACTAGAAGGTTATTCCTAACCAAGAGTGGACATCTTGGAAGGTTAAGCTTAATACATACAAATCCACTTCTTCATGTTTCACGGCGAAGCGTACGATTTGGACTGCCCTGGCCTGAGCACCTTGAGAAGAGTATGCTGCCAGTGTCGGTTTGAGGGCCAGATTGTGGAGAACGCACCACTGTTTGATTATTGATCTTACATTCGTGAGCTGGATTGCGATCCTAAAAGTGAAGATGCAACACATTCGAAGTTTGAGGCTTCTTGTCTTTCGGTGATGGAACTCTCTCCTGACTTGAGAACGTCACAATGTCGGTGATACCCGCAGAGACCGTTAGGACGAATGAGTGGGATCAGCGCGAACCCCGGGTGCATCTGGACGGGACTGGTCGGACCCAACCGGCCATTGCTCGCATATTCACAAGACTGATGCTGGCTCCTGTGTAGCCTAAGCTTACTTCTGTGCCGAGGATCGACGCCGGAAGTAGTAGGGATAGAGCTGATATGTAGAGCTGGATATAATCTAGAGGATCGGCGCTATTGATACTGTATCAGATGCTGTACGTACATGTAGCATGCATTGCAAACCAAAACTCCTCACTTAAACTAAACGCCACTTTGGAGTCTGGACCCCTGTGGGGCACCTTCCTCAGGAGGCCTTATAGGACCCGCCGGCTCCAAATCATTTGAGGGATTACATAGGCTCAACTTACGTATAGACAAAGGAGCCAGTTATGAAGGTGACTGAGAAAGTCCTAGCAGTGACGGTTGCAATTATGTTGCAAGGCAGCAAAACCGTTTTTTTGGAGATGATTTACATTCAAAAAAGTTGAACAAGCTGGCAGATATTGTCTGATTCTTCTTTTTTCTTGTGAACTGTCTTGTTGGCTTTGATCCAAGATATATGCATTAATAGAGAATACATGAAAAGGAGGAAAGACGCAGTGATGGACACACAAAAAGGGACAATATATGCATACTATGAGAAGAGGATAGTTTCAGATGATTTAAGCCGGTAAGACAAAGACTTTCAAATTTTGATCTGGGTTTTTGGTTGGTCGATTCTGACTTTTGAGTTGGTCGTCGATCAAATTCGGATCTATACCAGTTGGGAGCTTCTCGACGATAGAATAAGTTCTGAAGATCTCGACCGGCACGAGTTTGGTATTCGATTGAGAGCCAGGATCGGACCCATCATAGCTCGAATCGAGATCTTGCAAGTCTTTCAAACTAGACAACGAAGGTTGATGATGTTGTTCGCTAGATAATCGGTTCGATGAGTCCATGTGCAAGCTGCGCTGGTTTATTCGCCGGAAGACCTCGACCTTCGGGCCATTGATCTGGCCAAGTTTCGTCGGAATGCCGACTAAGGAAACTACCATAGACGAGCGAGGTAACACCAAGATTGAGTTGATCAACTTCGAGCCAGCGATGATCCATTCACTGCCACTTGGTTCCTTTTTACTGTTCGTCGGTGGCTCAGGAATCTTGACCACGAGATCGGCAGTCTTCGTCGGATCTCGATTCACGATCATGTAATTTACTTCGATTGGCTCCATGATCTTTAGGTGCGTTTTGAGGTCGGTTAGGACTGCAATTGGAGCTAGAATCGGTACCTTGAACACTACTGGAATCTGTTTCGAGTGCGAGTTTTGGGTTCCATTCAAAGAGCTAAACCACAAGTACAATCAATCAACCAAACCCACATCATTTGTAACATCATTTTTAAGACAAGAGGATGATTGGATTACTTACCAAACCCATCTAACTGCAACAGAACAACCCGAAACGCTATCCTGAGCATGATCAACTTCAACTTCGACGATATAACTGATAGCAAACGAATTCCCGATTTCCATGTCTAGAAGGAATTATCAGGATGAGACGATTGTCAAAGAAAGCCCAAAAGAAGATTTACAAGTGAGCATATAGTCAGCCTACCGACCTATATCTAAATCTGAGGAAACGTCGTTTGGCAAAGAACAAGATATCACCCTCGTTGGGCATGATGCGTTCTATAGGAGAAAGGGTAACGTATACTTGGAGTAAGTCTATCAAATTGTCCAGTATCTTACGGTATAGCGTATTTGAAAGATGACAGAAGCGAGAGATAAATACTACATACCTCCAAGGAAAGTGAAACACTCTGAATCTTGATAGAATTTAACAATAAGAGGAAAGCTTGATGTATTTGTGCGGAGAAATTGGAGATCAAGAGATTAAGATTAAAGCGATGTAGTAACTTAGAAGACTTGAAATAGCTAGGGTGATTGGGGTTATTGAGTTGATGGAAGTTCTGAATGCTGAACTGGATTTGGATCGGATCTTCAACTTCCAATGAGGCTTTCCTATGGATTTTAGACACTCTCAAGCTGTCCAGCTTTTGATCATCATCACCATCATCATCGTCTTTGTCCTTCTGTTCGTTATTTTCGTTGTTGTTATGATCATCGGTGACCTCTTTGATCGCTAGAGTGAACTCTAATACTCTCAAGCCGATCACTTCGGTCGGCACAAATGTTATGCTCTTCTTCATAGTTTCTTTCGACTTTATGTTACCAAGCTTCAGGTCCAGGAATTGCTGGATATTACGTCTTTCGTCATCCATCTCGAGGAGATCATCTATGCGATGATGTAGACACATCATAATGCAGATGTGGCGAGAGAAAAAAAGATCAGTATGGTATCTGTCAGAAAGTAGTAGTTCGTTGATTTGGAAGACTGACTGGTAGAGGGAGATTGCAGTTTGACAGCAAGCTTCAAATTTAAAGAGTCCTCCTCTAGATTTGAAATCTCAATCTGTAAACTCTGTTCCTTATTGACAATCCCACATGACTCGCAGTCCAGAGAAAACAAAACGTCGGGCTTCTTGTGTTGAACCCTGTGTTCATTTCATCGGAAAAATCAACAAAAACAGCAAAGAGTTGAGCGAAAGTCTGAGGATTTCTGACAGATTCTCAACGATAGAGAACATTATGGACGTACTTGCAAGCCGATTCGAAGCTCTCTGTATGAAGGAAGATTGGCTCATAACTCGCGTCATCGAAATGCTCAATCCATAGTGATGGATCCGAAGTTTGGTCTCCAGGCGTATCAGGCGCGATGGAAAAATCAAAGCGACCACTGTTGAGAATATTATCAAAACGAAATACGACTTGTTCCAGGGTGATCTTATTGACTTCCGACGGCTTCAACCGTCCAGTGATCAGCCAATAAGACTTCTCGGTCACATGGAGATCAAGTGTCTGGCTTGATGACTCATCAGAAAGGAGTCCAACATCGAGATTCTGGGCAGGCCGTTTTGATTGAGACGGTTGATGGACTATTGTGAGCACAGGAATGGATGTAAACTTCAGACTGATTTGGGCCATGGTTGGCTGGCAATCCGCAAATGTTTGAGGTATCCTCATAAAAACTTGAAATTCAACCTCATCCCCGAGCTGAATAGTAGGTTCCCAAAATGCCACTTGAAATCGCACTGGATATAGGAAAAAGTTTAGTCCGTGATATCCATCATAAAGCCTGAAAAGAAAATGTAAGGGCAGCCAGATGGAATCGCAAACCTGGGAAGGCTGATTGCTCAACTGAAAGGTTTACTACCTCAGCTTCCGGTGACGGAGATTCCGCAAGAGGCTAAAAAAGAGACAATTAGCTGTTTTCCATCCACCATTAACTTGAGCAAAAGCTTTCACAATTAACCTGTATCAAACCGGCTAACGTATTACAAATATCTCCATAACTACCGTTTGGAGATGCAAGTAACAAATCCCTCCCAATGAGTTCCAGACAGATTTTCAACAGCTCAACGGGTTCGTTGCCCTTGGGATCAGATTCAGGAATCGAGGTGTCCTTCTTCTTTGCAACAAGAGCGTTCAAGTTCCGGTAAGATAGATAGAGAACGCTATCGAGGAGAGTGTTGAAGCTACCTTTGCGATAGGACGGAATGATTCGCTGGAAGAATTTCCAGGCCGTCGAATGATCGTTTTGGTGGTAATGGACTAGGGCTATCTTCAGAGCTAAGAATAAAGTCATCCGACTCGAACCTACGGTTTTGAAGATCTCGTATGCTTTTGTGTACAACTGTTGAACAATCAGGAAGCGCCCTTCTTTCTATCCGGAGGGTAGTGCAATTCATGCAAAGAGAGGAGAACATGAGCGCACACTGATGATCAATTCCCCATGGTGTATCTTTCTTTCGTGCGACAAGGCAGGAGAAGGTTGGAAGGAGCCAGCTTCTCCCTTGGACTCAGCAATTGATCTCATTTCTTCCTGTTTCGCGAAAGAACAGCATTTCAGATGTACATTTCTTAGGGAGGAGATAAATTGACGACTGACCTCAGCCGCCTCACTTGCCTGGAATTTGTTTCGTCGTTCGACGGCACATTGAGCGCCATAGAAGTAATAGAACCCGGGGTGAACGAGTACCCCAGTCAAGTTAACAGCCCCACCACCAAGCAGGCGTGATTCAGATAAGACGGGTGAACTCGTCCGAGCCTTTTCGCTCACTGGAATCGGCGGAGGACATAGGTTGGGCAGGCGCATCCCGTTCCTACAACCAATGTCGACGAGATCGGCTAAAACAGTGTATTGCTTAGATAGCCAGGCCCAAAACTCGTATGTCTCGTCGCCGATACCCCAGCCGTTACAAAGCTCCCGAAACTTGTTGATGTGCTTGTTGAACTGGTACATCGCTCTATTCGGTTCATTCGAATACAAATAAAGCTTTGAGATCTGGGAATGATAGATAACTGCATAAATATGTGATCCAACCATGAGGCTCGAAGGGATGAGAATAAAAGGGAGCGCATACCTTAAAATTGATGCAATCAACCAAAACTTTTGCCTCTGCCCAGCGTTTTGTTCTTGGAGGTAAGACAGCGGTACTGTTAAACATTTGTAGTAGGCCTTCCCAGCAATCTTCGTAAGATTTGATGGCAACCTCATACTCTTGACGAAATTCAGCAAACGTGGCCAACTTATAGTCACTCCGCACGCTCCAGCCTTGAGGGCTCAGTGGGGTGATCACATGCTGTCCTGGTTGGTGATAGCTTGTAGATTGGGCAAATGCGTTTGAGCTCGACCTGGTCCGTTTCCTCCGTACCCTTCGAGAATGCTCTCGGTAATAATCGATTGTAGATTCGTACAGTTCAGCCTTGAGAGTATGGATAAAGTTAACAACGTCATGGGCTGGGACCGGTGATAGGACGAAGAGAGAGGCACGTGTGTCGAGTGATGATTTCTTTCGAATGTAACTGAGTCTCGTATCAAGCTGTGGGTTATCCAGCATGTATCTTGAGGTTAGGATGATCACCGCCAATTTAATTCCACGTTCAGAAGTCGTTTTCTTTCGCTCAGAGATTTCATAAATCAGCTCGTGGTCGAACTTCTCGTATTCAGCTCGATCGTGATGCTCGTCGGTATGAATCTGATGATTGGGTGGTTGAGGTGGTTCCCATAGTTTCAACATGAGCACAAACACTGAAGGAATCATATCTCGATGCTTCCTGATCCAGATCGGTGTCATTATCCCGTCGGGAAAGAGTGGAGAAGTTTGGGATAACGGTGATAGTGGAGAGTGAGAGACTGCATTGGTAGATGTAGTACTGCTGACGGACGAAGGTCTAGTTTTACGAGGCGGAAACCTGATTGACTGTGGGAGTTTGGATTATTAGTGTATGAATCCGAGGAATAAATGGGAGGGGGCAAATTGCGTTTTGAAAGATCAATGAAAACACCGACCTTGGGGACCAATAGAACTCTGTAATCAGACGTTGGCTGTGGGGTCTTTCGGGGGATCCAAATCGATGGATGAGATGGCTTGGATGCTAGTACTGCTCGCAAGTTTTCGATCAAAACCTCGAATGGATCTTTGGATGGTGGTCTAGGTTGTTGTTCTTCTGAGGGTGGATTGGATGGTTGGACGGCGGGTTGAGGCTCGATCCCGGCGAAGAACATGAGCGGTAGATGGTGAGAGAGGAATTCATTTGGACTGTAAGACGCAGGTCAAGGGTCAAGTCAGTTATCGGTTGGTTCGATGGATAAGTAGAAAAATGAAACGTTTTACTCACAGAGTCTCCATCTGGTCGAAGTACTGTTTATCAGAAAACCCTCAAAAGGTTGTAGAAAATATAAAAAGTGACTTTGAACATTCCAATCTCGATCGAACACACAGCTGACCCTGGACTGTGGCAGGGGCGGATGACGTAATCATCACACAGCATCTGACCCAAATTATGGATTCAATCGAATTTCACCATTTTTCATTCACCTGGACAATTAGCCTCTGCTCCTCTGCCTCACGCAAAACTCAGATGCACATATAAATAAGAAACAGGATTGGCCCATAGGGACGGAAATTATTTAAACAGCCATGAATTCTTAAAACATTCTACAAAATTGGTAACCTGTAAACATGAATATGTATACCATTACTCTCGATTTTATTTGGATCACTGTGGATGTGATGAGTCATTGGCTAGTTCAATGCCAAAGCTGTTGTCGAGTTATTAGGTCTTGCCCTTGGGTTGCACCTAGCCTTGGATCAAAGAAACGTCTGATGAGAATTCTCTAATCTCTCCAGGCGATTGTGCAGATACAAATAGGTAAAACTACATTGGAGCTATCCCATTGGAATGGTGTTGAAATATTCGCATGCCTTGACGGAGGGATTCTCTTCCAGGTTCTCCTGGCTCATAACAATGTGATATGTATCCTTCCAGTCAGGTGATCGTTTATCTTACCCAGATTAACCGATTTCCATTTTTTGAGAGCGTGCTGAGCGCAATAACGCATGACCCAGACGGTAGATCACATTCACATCGCAGGAAATATTGTAATTCCTACATTCCGGTTAATTGGTTGCCCAAAATATTCATACAGATTGATATCATCATAGAAAACTCAGACCTGGTTCTAGGTCTCCCTTAAACTCCTAACTTAACAAAGTCCCTCTTTATTCGGAGGGAGGACGCTGTCCCGCAGGGACCCTCCGAAGGAGGGTCCCTGCGGCCTTAAACTCCGCCATTGATTACCTACACCCTCCTACACCATTCATTACAAAATTGGTATGTATGGCCAAATATTTCGGAATCCTCATGAAGTTGATTTTCTTTTTTTTGAACCATCACCTATGTATCATCACTGACAATATGCCCAAACAATCGAGTCATCAAGGCCGTTAAAATCCGTTTACAGCGTGCACTGGCGCGTCGATAGGCAGCGAGTGAGTGAGTATAATTTGCAGTACCGGGAACTACAAGTATAAGCTACCACCAGCAACCGGGAAAATTTTCTGCATTTGAAACTTTGCAAGAAGCCGGATACTGTTATAACAAAGATTCTCTCAGCGCGGTCATCTAATATCTCATCCCAACCAGCCTAGCAGCAGACGAAGTAATACCCGGCCAATATTTGAGACGGCCATGTTTCTGTTCCGATTTGATTTAGTTTTGATAGCTTTTCTAGTCGTGGCCGACAATCGAAGCGCTGGTGTAGCTGCAGACCGCACTCCAGGGGGAAGTAAAAAATATCCTGGACTTGAGCCTGAGGCACATGCAAGATGCTACCCCTCAGTAACTGATCGGCCTATGAGTCTTCCAACCTCGTTGGATCAATCACCCAAACATTGGTGGTGTTCTCAAAAGGAAGAATACTCATGGCTGGGGTTTAGCTACCACGTTAGTATTTACTCAAGCGGCGGCCCCCAAGCCTTCGAGGAATAAACATTTCAATTTTTAACTCCAGTGACTCAACAATATTCTTCTCTTTTTCCAATTTCAATCAGGTGGGCGGCTGCCCGTCCCGTGCTGTGATGACAAACACTTTCGGTTGGATGCGACTCTCGAAGAAAGCCCGCTACGTCAGATTGTATGGTGGCTGTGATCACGATGGTTTTGATGACGACGTGATCGAAGCTGCAGCGGAAGCGGGGGTCGGAATATACGCTTTGATCTGGTTTGGTTTTGATAGTGAGTATGATTTTAGTTTATCTTCGCCTCTGTCCAGATTTTTCACTGTTACACCTTCAGATCTCAGCTGATTATAGTCGATACAAATTTCTAGACGATGATAAATGGAAAGGCAGGAAAGCGCGGCTTCTCCACGCGATCAAGGAAAATCCTAAGGCAAGCGTTTGTCTCAGCATCTTTCTTGAGCTGCTAAGCCTGGCTGAAATCTGTGCTAGACAAATTAGAGACTTATGATAATTATCATTTAGGCTCCGTATGTGATTCGTACCGTAACTTGTGGCTCAGAACCGTTGTATGACAAAGTTTTGCCAGTATTAAAACTCGTGGCACAGATTGAGGACTTGAAAAATCAGCTCGAACCGTTTGGGATTCCAGTCACTCTATCAGAGGTGAGCAAGCGATCCAAATAATTGAGAATTAAGCTTTCAAAAAACTGACCTTCCGAGGACCGGGGAAACGAAGATGCCAGCGGGATATAAAGCCAACAATGATACTCCGGAGATCTTCAAAGCGGTCGATTTCGTCTGTCTACACAGTTTCGCATTCTTTGAAGGGAACGCAACGACGGCTGATCATGCACAGGTTGCGATCCGGAACGATGTCGAGTACGGTCTCAAACATGGCCGAGGAAAGAAAGTGGTGATCACTCAGACTGGTTGGCCAAGTAACACTAAGAGTTGGAAAGCCAACTCACCTGATGCTATCGCTGACATTGCCCAAGAAAAGCGTTACTTTGAAGTGCTTGACGAGCACTGTGATTACTTCAAGGCTAATCGAATTAGTTGGTTTGCGCACAGTAAGTTTCTTTTACAACCATACCCCGGATTCTTACAAACCTTGATGTTGGATTTTTCTAACATGATGCGAATTTGTTCATTTTTTTTCTGGGATAATTCCATCTTAGTATACAACGAAACTACCTTGGCAGGTTGGGGCATATATTATGGAAATGGTACCGAAAAGTTTCATTTTAATCCTAGGACCAGCTGCTAATTGTTGGGGGGGGGTTAGAGCTCAACTTGACGATTAATTTGCTGGTAGTGCTCACATAAATATGACACAAAGATGCATCTTGCCTTTCTTCCTCATGCTGTTTGTATTCCATCTATGTATTTTTTAAAAATCGCTGCTCTCTGCTTGTTATGTTGATCCACCAACTCCGACCGTCGGCGACAACGGGTCGCCGCTCCAATTCCAGGGGTGCAGTTGGCACCGAGCTGGTAAAGCCTGTAGCAGCTCGGCATTGGCAGTAACTCGTGAGCATATATCCGCGGCACGGCCTGCACCAGATTGGTAAGGACGTATTCTCCTCCTCTGACTGGTACAGACCTTGCTAGTTGATCGGCAAGGAGACATCCCCGGCGAGCTCAGACATCTTATACCGGCTCGGCGGAGGGAAAGCCCCCCCCCCCCCGGTACGGCATGCACCGGCACACCGAGGATAAGCCCTCGTCACTAAGGGTTTCCCTTCGCGGAGCTGATACAAGCCCTCATTGAGGAGGATCCCTCCTTAGCGAGGCAACATAACCAGCATCAAATCGCCGGGGAGAATCTTTTGTCGCCGAACCGGATTAAACTGTACCAGCTTGACGAGTATGTCTACTACTTGTCGAGTTAGTATGGTCTGTATCACATCCTCTTCACCCAGGACCAGCTTGATAAGAAGGGTACATATTCGCTGACATTATAATAGCCTCCACGAAGATCTCAGAGGATTTGTCTTGTTTGCGGAGCCAGTACAGGCGTTGGAGATCCTCAGCGCCGCCCACAAGCAGGAACCCCTGAGAGTTGCGCAACTGCTACTTTGGTCGAGCAAACCGCTGACGTCGAAGAAGTCTAAGTTGGGTCTTGAAGATGTGCAAGTGTTCCGGGGGCCCAGGGATTCTTCATCCAATTGATGGGAGTTGTGGAACTAATCCCTCGAGAAAATTAAGAAAACTTTACAAAGATTTGTCATGAATGCCCCCCAAAATGTCTCAAGGATATCTTTGATGCGCAATTCGAGATTTCTCATCTATAATTTCAGAGACTTTCATGATCACTGATACTCAAACTTGATATCCAGAAAAGATAGAAATAGAAGAGAGGAAGAAATATAGAGAAAGAGATGATAAAATTTGTAAAAATGAGGACAATGATTGGATACTATGAAATAAGAAAGCATCAAAGACTGGAGATTTAGATAATTCAATTGAGATAGTGTTATCTTTGACAACATCAAACTTTGTTGGACAGACAAATATGGAAAATCCAATTTAGAAGATGGGTGCATCAATTGATCCAAAAATTTAGACAACCTTCACACTTCATATTTACATTGGAGATATCAGCAAACAATTCATTTTTTGGTAGACTTTAGAAATACTGGGAAGGAAAACATCAAATTTTCACCTGGTTTCTGTTTTTGTTTTTGTTTTTCCTTCTTATCTTGAGAAGAATCCACATTCTTTCTAGCATGTTTCAAGAGATAATCCCAACATTCCTTCATTACTACTTTGGAAAAGTTCTGCATGAGTTGTGTGTTTTTGAATTTTTTCTCTTTTGTTAAATTTTCTTGTATACTTTTCTCTTGTTCCCATGGGAAGACTTCCATTTCTTCCCATTGACTCACTTGAACTTTGAGGATACGAGAAATGGATTCATTGTATTCATTTTGCTTGAATAAAGCAAACATGTTGAGAAAGCAATGATCATTTGGGAACATCTCCTTCCACTTATCTAAATTTTTGAATTTGTAGTGAATAAGTATAGCATTGAGTGCAACTTGTGTTTTCATAGCACAGGAATAGCTCACTTCCCACTGCTCCATTGGGTAGTGTTGAGATGAATCATTTTTGATCAAGTCATAACTTTTCTCTTCAATTGTTAAATACCTCAAGAGCATCTTGTAGAATATAGATAGTGAGTGATTCCCATCCTCTTGGTTTTCTGGTTTAAACAGGCCCAATGTTTCAGAGCTGGATGTAATTCCAAATAATTTTACCAACCATTGAAGAAGTTTTTCTTGCTCTCTTGATCTTAATCTTAGTATGTTGTAATTTTCATTTTTGGAAATCTTCTTTGTTTTTTTATCAATGAATTTCCCCCCAGTGAAAGCGATGAGGAATTGACCATCCCGGAAGAATATTTCCTCCAGCAATGCCCTTGTCCTTTCAATTACCTTTTCTTGACTTGTATTTTTATATTTAATCATTAACTTTTGAATCAGAATTGGTAATGTGAATTCTTTACTATTTACCTCCATATTTTTCCAAAAATTACTCTCATGGAGTACATTAGTGCTAAATAACTTCTTTTTTTTCCACACCAAATACCCAGGAAATGTTGACAAGCTGATCAAGCTGTATGCCATCAACAGGACTTCCAAATGAATTCTTTCTTCAAGGTAAAGCCTGATTGGTGCTCTTAAAGTATGCTGTTGTTTGATGTTCATGCAAGGTATGTCTGTTGTTTGTGGTTTTTCAATTTCTTTTGAAACCTGTTTGAGGTTTTTTGAAGGTAAAAGGGCGGTGCTTTCAACTAGGTACCTTTTGAGGGATTCAGAATTATTGATACTTTTCTTGTGCAATTCTGAACTCCTAGAATCTGATTCATTCAAAAAAATTCAAATATCAGTTGATATATAATAGAAAAATACAACAAATTTCCAGCAATTTGAAAGACATACCTGAAATTATCCTGGATAAAGTGGATTTATTATCATCCAAGGAATTTAAGTCTGATTCTGGTGCAAAATTTGATGGTCCTCCCAGACCTTTCAAACCAAAGGGTATAATTTCTAATTCAGACTGATTAATATCTACATTCAATTCCACCAAACCAAGTTTGAGGTAATCCTCAACACACAGATCATTTGAGGAAGATTGATTTTGAGAGAAATCTGTAAAATGTTTATGTTTCAAGTTGTTCATTTCTGAGATGGGTATTTCTATAGGAAGGCTTCCAGATTCAATTTTATCATCCAAATTTTTTGTTTGCAAGACTGGTGTTTCCATAATAGTGTTCCCTGAACCTTTTGTGCCAGACCCAGGAACATCCAATTTAAACCAATCATCATCTGCAGGAAACTGAGGTTCAGAAAATGGGTTTAGCCTATATTCAGAATCAAGGATGGGAATTTCATTCATGGAGGTATGATCATTCAAGTTCAAACACCCTGGATCTAGTTCCATGAAAGAATAATCAAGTTTACCATAATCATTTTCAAAATCCAAAGCAAGAAGGTTGGTTTTTGTTGCAAGTATGTATTCAATAAAAAACACCCAAAGGAGAATGAATTTTAAAACAACTGAATTTTTCTTGATCTTGCTCATCATCTCAAGTTAAATTGATAGAGTTGATTAGGAAGATGTAAATTCAGTAGTAAATCCTGCTAAAAAGGTACTACTTAAGATGTGGAATTTTGGGAACATAGATTGAGACCCCAATTACTTGAAGGCTTAAACATTCAGCCAGGTGTGGTGTGTTGAAATACATATCTTCTCAATGAAGCAGGTTTCCAAATCAACTGGTGTTCTGAATGGAAATTTGCACAACATCCAATATATTTCAATCCAGTTTCACTCTTGCATGTTGAATACACATGTGTAAACAAATCTCATTGAATGATAATATTACATGGAGAGTAAAACTTCTTGTAATTCACTTCTTCTTCTCAAACAGTTAAAAGAATGTCAAAATACTGCACTGTCTATTTTACTCATGTGACTTTTTTGGGATTTGAAACCCTTTTTCTCTACTTTTATACAACAACAAAAAATTTCAACACATTCATTATGATATCTCCCTAAAATTTCCCTTTTTAAAGTGATAAATATCTTGTGAATTTACAGCACTCTGGCCCAGTCATGCTTACCTCACTCAAGTTTTCAATATTAGTAAGAACAGTATTGTGGAGATTGTTGGAATTTCACTCTCATTCTCTCCTTCTGCTCTGCTCTCTCTCTTTCTATTTTTTCTGCTCTCTTCCTCTCCCACTTCCTCTCTCTCTCTCTCTCCTGTTGTCCACCCTCTTCCGCTCCCGCTCCCTTATCTGCTCTTGCTCCCTCATCTCCATCTATTCTCTCTCTCTCTCTCACCATTGTAAACCTAACTCACCCACAACTCAAACGTCAAGATCAACAGAATAAAAACCAAGAATCTCTCACGCTGCTGCTTGCTCCTCTTCTTCACAGCAGCCAACTTCACCTGCTCAACTTTTCAATGCTTGACTCAGTCACCTCAAACTCTGGTGCTGCACTATCTTTGACTTCCTCCAACATTCCTCAACCAACTCAACTAAAAACCTACTGCTTTTCCCTTCCTCTTCGACTCCACATCCTACCCTCATTTATTCTCTATCTCCTATCTCTCTTCTCCCTCATTCTTCATTCTCACCGCTCTCAATATCACCTTGACTATCATCTGAAATCCTCCAACCAATGCTGGAACCAATAAAATACATGTATCTGTATCTGTTTTTATCCCAATACAGTGTATCTGTATTGTATTAGAAAAATTGTAAAAACAATACTATACAAATATATGGTATCTGGTCATCAATACATCCCAATACACAAACAATACAGGACTGTATTTTTGTATTGCCCAGTTGGGTTGTTGAATACAGTCCAAATTGGCCAACAAATGTGTAGTAGTTTTTTGATAAAATGCCTTTGTATTGTATCTGACTTCAGATACAATACCCAATACCATTTTTTTGAGTATCTGAAGGAAAGATACAATACAATGTATTGCCCAATACATTTATTGTATTGTATTGCTTTCACCGTTGCTCCAACCATCTTCTCTTATCACCTGCTTCAACTCTAGACCTCTTCAATTGGTTATTACCAATTTGATGAGAAAATCAATCAAATAGGACCAATTCTTCTTCTTCTCTCAAAACAATCTTGCTTGCCTTCTGTTTCATTTCTCTACTTCTCTCTTCGGTGTCTACTACTTCTCCTTGTTTGATCTTCTTTAATTCAGTCTGTCTTTCTCATATCAGAATAAATCTCCTTGTGGCATGCTTCTCTTATTTCTCAGTCTCACTTGTGTTTTCAATCTTTGTA